CTCCTTATTAAGGCCCATCCTTCACAGTTTATAATTTTTTTACGGAAACGTACACAGTTGAATAAAAAATGAACTAAAATATTTTGAAAACTTTATACAACACAGACCCTTAACAGTCTTATTTCGATAAGCACGGGCAGGATTTTTGGTTGGGGGAACGATAGAAAAATGAAGTACAATTGACAAGATTGGATGAAAGTTTCCAGACAATGAGAGTTAGTTGACAAGACAAAATTGGATAAAAGTTTCCAGACAGTGAGAGCTAGCTGATAGGACAAGATTGGATGAAAGTTTCCGGACAGTGAGAGCTAGCTGACAGGACAGGATGATGAGAGAGTTGACAGGGGCTGTATATGTAGTTCCAATACTCATTTAAGCATAATATTATCACTCTGTACTTTCCGAATGTGCTCCTTCTCCAGGTGGTTCAGTGTTAATCTGCAAAGTTCGGCGTTCAATTCCTGCGAAGGAAAAAATACGTATAGTTCACACGCAGCTTCGTGCTTAACAACAAGCAAACGATTCGAACTCTGAGGCAGAAATAATGTATTTGACATTGGTCATTCTTCCCATTACACTGTACAGATATTCGACATAAGGAAGGGAGATAAAAAAAAAGAGAAAAGTTTTGATTTGAAACATTTGTATAAAGTCACAACGCTATTTGTGCTCTCAGATAGTGCAATAATGCTATTGGTCAAGTTAATTATAAGATCTCCATTCAATCATTATAAAAGAACAAAGATTAGGCGGATGTGAGTTTTCATGTTACGATTTTTCGAATCGACTGGTTCTGTTAAAACCCAAATTTTATAGAACTACAGCGAAGAGGACGTGTCTTTCTTTATGAAAGTTTTCACACACATACACGTTAAGGTACAGCGAATTAAAATGAAAATGTCTTCAATAAAAAATAAACTCATTTTTAGAAATACTTTCTCCAGTTCGCGGAAATTATTTGAGCAGACTAGCGTTCACTAAAAAGAAATAGTTTTGGGTCTATCATTCGAGAGCTTCTATATTCAGTGGCTTCAACATATCCTATAGAAATTGGTTGAATGCGTGAAAAATTACAATGTCATTTCGAGACTTGTAACTACAAGAAAACACAATCATGGAAAGTCACAGTTTGAACGTGCGTATCACGAAATGTTCAGTCGCAAGTAAAATAAAAATACAATTGACTGCAAGCCATAAGAATACTTTCATGGAATATCTGTTTAGGTTTATGTTCGAGTGAATGTACTGCGTATACATACATACATATATATATATATATATATATATTGCAATACCGTTATTGGTCCTGGTTGTCAACTTATTGTCATAACGGATAATGTCTGCGCCTATAAACAAGTAGTGTAATCAATGGTTTATAAGCTCTATTTATTTAATTGTATATATATATTAGAGCCATTAATATACCGGTTTGATTTATTTCGGACCTTAGATAATTAATTAGTAGGCTATATTTTTATACAGAGTACGTTCGTTCTTGGCCCTTGCCAAAATGTAGAAATAACTAATGCAGGAATCAAAATAGCTGACTTAAGAGAAGAGGTTCTGACTAATATGTGACTTAACAGAAGAGGTCTGACTAATATGTGACTTAATAGAAGAGGTCTGACTAATATGTGACTGAAAGAAGAGGTTCTGACTAATGTGTGACTTAACAGAAGATGTCTGACTAATATGTGACTGAAGGAAGAGGTTCTGACTAATGTGTGACTTAACAGAAGAGGTCTGACTAATATGTGACTTAACAGAAGAGGTGCTGACTAATATGTGACTTAACAGAAGAGGTCTGACTAATGTGTGACTTAACAGAAGAGATATGACTAATATGTGACTTAACAGAAAAGGTCTGACTAATGTGTTACTTTAACGAATTATTGGAAAAGGTACAGACTAGGGCTATTAAAATTATAACTGAAGTGATAAGGTAGATGTGGTAGATACAGTTAATTTAAGGGTGTTTAAGGGAAAGCTTGGTAAATATTTGAATGATAATGGCTGGTTTTGAGTTTCCTTTTAAGGGTTTAGTTTAATTTAGTGGACAGGACAGCTTAGATGGTCCAAAAAAAGTCGATCTAGGAGTAGAAACAACGTATCCTTGTAAACAACAAGGACAAACAAACTGATACATAACATTAGATAGCTTATTTTTTCGGACTTATATCTTTAAATACAATATGTTTCTGTATTTTATATCCTAGTTTAAATACACACCTTAACGGTATACGTGGGAAACGTTTATGGTGGGCTAATTTATTTATTTGCTTTTAAAATTGTCTAGTGTGTGGTAGCTCATAACAAAAAAAAACAAAAACATTTATTTTATTATATTTAACCTTAATCTTTTTTATGGATGGGTTATATGTTGACTGACCTCGATTTTTTTATGGATGGGTCATATGTTGACTGACCTCGATTTTTTTTATGGATGGATCATATTTGTATTGACCTCCATGTTTTTTTATGGATGGATCATATTTGTATTGACCTCCATGTTTTTTATGGATGGATCATATTTGTATTGACCTCCATGTTTTTTTATGGATGGATCATATTTGTATTGACCTCCATGTTTTTTTATGGATGGATCATATTTGTATTGACCTCCATGTTTTTTATGGATGGGTCATATTTTTACTGACCTCGATCTTTTTTTTATGGATGGGTCATAGTTTTAATGACCTCAATCTTTTTTTTTATGGAGGGGCAAATTTTATTACATTTTGTATATTTAGTTCCCATATAAAAATCGAAAATAAATTATGAAACTCCCCTAACTAATCTCTGTCACCTTTGACATATGGTCAATATTCATTACTAATCCTGTTTTCACGAGCTGTTAAGAAAGTTATCTCGTAAGTAAAATCAATGCGAAACAACAACAGTTCTTGTCACTTGAAAACAAGTTGTAATATGTAGTTATATAATACTTTGTTATCTAAGTACAAATATGTTTATTTTTACGCCTGGTGTTTAGGGCGCTCGACTCGCAATCTGTTTGTTTTGAATTTCACGCAAAGTTACACGAGAGTTATCTGCGCTAGCCGTTCCTAATTTAGCAGTGTAAGACTAGAGGGAAGGCAGCTAGTCATCACCACCCACCGACAATTCTTGGGCTATTCATTTACCAACGAATAGTGAAATTGATCGTTACGTTATAACGCCCCCACGGCTGAAAGAACGAGCATGTTTGGTGGGACGGGGATTCGAACCTGCGACCCGTAGATTGCGAGTCGAGAGCCCTAACCACCTGGCCTTGCCAGACTTCCCCTTTAGAGTTGCTGTCAGGACCAGCCGAGTGGAAATTGTAATAAAGCGGACCATGAAATTTACCAAAGACAACCTTATTTTTCAACATTCATGGAATAGCAAAAAATTGAATATATACGATGATAATAGGCTTCTGAGTTACTTCTTTCTTGTTCTGACTTCACCCTTGAAAACAATGGACAAATCCACTGACATTTGTTCAGTTATCTATCGAATAAAACTTGGATATGAAAAACAAGGCCATTCACTATCAGCTGTTTGTTTGTTGACGTCCCAATTTTTAGCATTATAAGGCCCCAAGACTTACTGCTGAGCCATCGGATTTTGTTGTGTTTGTTGTTTAGCGCAAAGTTACACAATGGGCTATCTGTATTCTACTCACCGCGGGTATCGAAACCCAGATTTTAACATTAGAAGCCCCTAGGACTTACTGCTGAGTCGTCGGAGGGTGTTTTCGAAAGGATTTTGTTGTGTTTTTGTTTAGCGCAAAGTTACACAATGGGCTATCTGTATTCTGCTCACCGCGGGTATCGAAACCCAGATTTTAACATTAGAAGTCTCTAGGACTTACTGCTGAGTCGTCGGAGGGTGTTTTCGAAATGATTTTGTTTTCTTTGTTTGTTACAAAGTTACATAACAGAACGTCTGTGCTCTGCCAACCACGGGTATCGAAACCCGGATTCTAGCGTTGTAAGCCTTCAGACTTACAGATGTGCTTGCGGGGCCTTTTCAAAAGAAAGATAATTTCAAAACGTAGGTAAAATGAATCCGAGTCTAATTCAATGTTCTGAGTTTCTTATAAAATGTAATATTGTAATTGTTCTATTTATTACATGGGACACAGATAATTAAATACTCACTCACGTCCTTCATGTAACTAATTTTAGACCAATCAGTATTCACATTCTGGAGGAATAGGTGTGGTTTCTCACGGTCAAAATAATTCTCGCTCCATATTGTTTGTTTTTTTGTTTTTAATTATGCTCAAAGCTACACAAGGGCTATCTGTGCTCTGCCCACCACGGGTATCGAAACCCGGATTCTAGAGTTGTAAGTCCGCAGACATACCGCTGTGCCACTGGGGGGGCTTGCTCCATATCGCGTAAGTTTTGGGTCTCTTGAAATTTCTATACCGGAAAAGTTGTGAAAAAACAGACAAAAAAGTTAATTTCACATATAGTTGGAAGACGTTCAACATACAGGTTGTTTTTGTGCTTCGATGGAACTATTTTCTGATTTCCTGACGCTTTTATCGTACACCCTATAAAAAAAAACGATGGTTGTTTTTGTGCTTCGATGGAACTATTTTCTGATTTCCTGACGCTTTTATCGTACACCCTATAAAAAAAAAAACAACAAACAAAAAACGATGGTTTAATGAAACTAACTTCACGAATCTGTGTTAAATGTTCGTAGTTCGTTTTGGAAGGATAAAAAAAAAATATTCGTTTACCTTAACCGTTTTTCATATTGTATTCAATTACCGTTCATGATGGGAAGAAAAAAAATAATCAAATAGGAACATTTGGATAGTTTCCTTTCGTGATATTAAACCACGTTCACTCATCACGCAGGTTGTAAATGTTGTATTAAAAATTAATGAAACGCTTGGGAAATTCCTCGTAGTTTTTTCAATTTTACCTTTCGACTGTTAAAAACATAACTAGATGTATTATTAAACAGTGTGAACTTTACTCTAAGACCTTTTTTGAATAAACCTAATACTTTTAAAAGTTTTCGTCGCTTACCGCTGAAGACACTGTGTTATATAAAAAAACAACGACCATTGTAACTTACACGAAAGGGAGATTTTATTAGGACTGGATTCAAACTTCACTTGAAAATGTGGTTCTTAAATTTACCAATAAGTTTCCTAATTTACTGGTATTCTTCGTTCTGCTAATGTATTTATATCAAGTATCGCTATATTACGACTTCCTAAGGGTTTTACAATAAAAATAATTTTAATTCCATTTACGGTAGTAATATTAAATTATTGGCTTAAATATTAGTGGAATTGGAGTTGGATCCGATTTGAGTTTTTCCTTTGACCTTCACCTTGACAAGTGACTTCACAGCTACTTGACAGCCTACCAAGATGGCGGCCTCCTATGGGCGCAACCATCTTGGATAACCCCTTATAGTGGTGTAACCATGTTGGACAGGGATGGGTGGT